TTTGCTATTGTAAATAGTGCTGCTGTGAACATTGAAAAAAACTTTTTAAAGTGTTAAAAATGTCACATTGAAGACTAAGGAGCACCTGACCCACCCGATGGTATTTTCAATCTCGTCATATGCATGTGAAAGACAGTGAATACAGGAGACTCTAGGAGAATTGATACACATTTGAATTATGTTGTTGGTGAAGAATATTAAAAGTACTACCAAGAACATGGACTTCCAAGAACAAACAAATCTGTTTTGGAAGAAGTACAGCAGGATTGCTCCTTAGAAACAAGATGACAAGACTTCATCTCACGTACTTTGGACATCTTATCAGGAGAAACCAGTCCTTAGGGAAAGACACCATGCTTGATAAAGTAAAGGATCTGTAAAGGGAGGGATACTCTCAACAAAATGGACTGATACAATGAATGCAATACGGGATCAAACATCAAAATTGTGAAGCTGGTACAGGACCATGCGTTTCATTCTTTTGTGCATAGAGTCACTATGAGTCAGAACTGACTCCACAGCACCTAATAACAAATACAGCAACATGATCAGTGTATGTCATTAAATGCTATCATTGTTTTTGTTGTTATATGCTATCAAGTCAGTTCTGACTCAGAGCAACCCTACATACAGTAGAAGGAAATATGCCCAGTCCTGTGCCATCTTCACAACTGTTATGTTTGAGCCCATTATTGCATCCACTATATCAGTTTATCTGTTTGAGGGTCTCCCTCCCTTTTACTGATCCTATACTTTAAATTTTGTGATGTTTTTCTTCAGAGACTGGTACTTCCTGATAACATGTCCAAAATGCATGAGATGAAGTCTTGCTATCATTGCTTCTAAGGAGCATTCTGGCCACACTTCTTCCAAGACAGATTTGTTCATTCTCCTGGCATCCCATGGTATAATCAGTATCCGTTGCTAACACCATAATTCAAATTCATCAATTCTTCCTTGGTCTTCCTTATACATTGTCAAGCTATTACAGGCATATAAGGCAATTGAAATACCATGGCTTGTGTCAGGTCCAGTTTGGTCCTCAAAGCAACATCTTTGCTCTTTAACACTTGAAAGAAGTCTTTTGCAGCAGATTTGCACAATGTAATGTGTCATTTGATTTTTTTTTGACTGCTGCTTCCACAAACATTGAATGTAGACTCAAGTAAAACCAGATCCTTGACAACTTCAGTCTTTTTCCCATGCATGATGTTGTTGTTTAGTGGTGCAGTTGTGAATATTCTTGTTTTCTTTACATTGAGGTGTGATCTTGGCTGAGGGCTGTAGTCTTTGATTTTCATCAGTAATTACTTCAAGTCCTCTTCACTTTCAGCAAGCAAGGTTGTTTAATCTGCATGTTGAAAGTAATTACTGAGCCTTTCTCTAGTTCTGATGCTCTGTTTTTCTTCATATTGCCCAGCTTCTCAGATTATTTGTGCAGCATAAGAGGGAGCTTAAATAAGTTTGAAAAATGGAATTAAAATATAATGGTATTTTTTGAAGTCATATGGTAAAAGGCTATAACCCTAACACATACCTTTGCTGATTTTAAACCATTCAGAATCTCCTTGTTGTTTTTTAACAACTGCCTCTTGGTCTTTGATTATGTACACAGTTAAGTTTTCCGGAATCTCCATTCTTTGCAATGTTTTCCATTATTTGCTGTGATGCATAGTTGAATGCCTTTACATAGTCCGTGAGACACAGTAAATGTCTTTCTGGTATTTTATGCTTTCAGCCAACTTCTATCAGCAGTGACATGCTTCATGATATGTCACATCCTCTTTTTATCTGGCTTAAATTTCTGACTGCTCTCTATTGACAGACTGCTGCAATCATTTCTGAACTATCTTCAGTGAAACTCTACTTGCATGTTATATTAATGGTACCATTTGATAATTGCCACATTCTTTTGGGTCACCTTTCTTTGAGATGAACACAAACTTGGATCTCAATTCTGGTTCATTTAGAAGAAAACAATTAAGTATAATAAAATAAGCTGTTGGCATAATTGCTGGTAGCGCTCATCCTGAAATTCATGATCTAAGTTTGCTTTACTCTTATCTCATTTGGTTATTTCATACAACTCCTCTAACATAGGTTAAATTCTGTCTTTTTCAAACTAAGAGTTTTAACCCTTTTTAGAAAGAGAGTACCTTTCATAGTAAGGATAAATAGTGTGTTGTGGAAGCTTTAGTTTCAGTTATATATCCTTTTGTTTGATACAGACAAACAACACACAGAAACTTGTATACTGAATTACAGTTTACAATTTTTTCTTGTAGAAATAGCAGTAAAAAATGGCATAAAGGTACTTGAGCCTGTAAGAACTATAGAAATGTTCTTCTGACTCCTTAACAATTATATGATATTCTTGATATGATCCCAGGAGTCCATGAGGAAAGGTAAGCATTATCTGTGTTTAACAGAAGTGGATATGCAAACAGTGTTATTGAAAACATATTCAAGTTCACCTTTATAACATAAAGCCAAGTAAGCATCTAAGTAATACTCTCGTGCCATATAATTAGCTTCAAGTTTTACAGCTCACTTCTTGAAGGTCTGTAATCTACTTTTAGATCTCAGAGACCTCTATGTTTGAAATTTGTACTGGCTGCCACCAACACATCACCTAATGGAAATTCCCACTGAGGAAGAGAATGTGGTAGGCAGTGACTCCCTTCCCCACTTCACCCATAAACGTTCTAGGAATCAGAGATAACTCTCCCTTAGGAAGAGACTGAACCAAACCTTTAACAGACTATGAGTGCCTTGCCTTTGCTTTTCATACATTTCTATCCTTAGAAGTATCTTCACAAGGCAGCCATTCATTATGGTAATGAACCCTTTCCTTTAGAGATCCTTTCCCTGACCAAGTCCGCCTTTCACAAGATCCACCCTCATAGTTTCACCTTGACTTTTGTAAGTTTTATTGTTTCTGACAGTTCACTTGTTAAGTAGTATAGATTTGCTACTCCTGCTTTCTCACAAATCTTCAAGTTTTGTAGATTTCCAAGCACAGCTGAGTATCTCTCCCCCTCATACATTCATTTTTTAAAAGTAGTTTTTTATAAACCTATTCTCTTTGCTCCTTCTCCTCCAAAAGGTGACAGAAAGTATTTTATGGTAATCAAAATTTCAGTGTCTTTGTGACATGATAGAATTGTTTTTCCTCTAAAGTAATGTCTTAGGATGTCAAAGTCTTCTGTGAGGAGAAGCTTTGTTCTGGGGAATGTATAAAGTGATTCCACTTAGTTTAATATAAAAGGATAAACTTGGGACTAAAATGAGGCATTTCTGGGACTCCTTTGGACTGTAGTTCATTTATATTTCAATTACATTATCAATTAACAAGCTACAAATGGCTTCTTTATTTTCATGTTTTGTTGTTTAGAAAACAACAAGTGGCCACTGAATATAACCGGAAACAGGTTCTCCAACACTACTTTGCAGAATGGCAGCATCGGCATGATGTAGAAACCCGAAAGAGAGAACTGGCTCTATCCAAGGAGGAAACCAGGAGAAAAATGGATGAGCTGCTAAAGGCAGCATCACTAGGGAAACTCAGTGCAAATGGGTCTTCAGGCACAACTAGTCTACCTGATGAGACTATAGCCACTGTGGAGCCATCCATAGATGAAGAGGTACCTTGTTTTACTCTGCTTGGCCTTCCTGCCTATTAAACATTTGCATTTGAACTTTGCATTTTTGTAGCCTGGGTATGTTAGAGGTTGTCAGGTTGCCTCATCTAGGGTATTTAAAAGATTAGAGCTACTGCAGGCCATAAAAGTTACCTTTCAGTCAGGGTTTATTTTCTTTAAAGAATCTTTTTATAATTGCACATAAACTTTGTTAGGATTTGGTTGGGCTGTAATATAGAAAGGAAATTTAAAACACCTAAGTGAAAGACCTTTCAGGAACAGATAAGCTAAAGCATTGTTTACAACTCCTGAACTTATCTTATTAAATCTTCAGACATTTCTTTTCTAAATGAGCTTGTGACTTACAAGAGGGCGGTTTTTAAGTTTGATTATTTTAATAAAGAAAACCACATATATTTATTGGGACTATTTGATAGAAAATCACAGCAAAAAACAGTATAATTCCATCATGCCCCAGGGGTAACCACCTTTAAGATGCTGATGTACAGTCAGCTGGTCTCTTTTCCATTCAAGAATATGAAATTTTGTTTCTTTTAAATTTTGTGTAACTTTTATGTAGGTTCTATTAAGTCAGTGAGGATATTTAGTCTGCCATAATGCAGGAAAAGGAAAGCCATGATTTTTTTTTCTTCTTCTTCTTAGTAGTAACTTAATTTTCTTTTTCTTCTTTCTTTTTTTCATTTTTATAATATAGCATGAGCATTTTCCATTTCACTAAATATTCTCAGGCAACAATAGTTGTCAACTTGGAGAGTACCACAGAATCACACCTACTAAATTCTGATAAATTCTCATTTCTGAGTGCAGGTTACCTATTTTTATTTTTTATTTTTGGAAGTCCACGGTAAACCTGATCTATACCCATAGCTCAGGACTGCTTTTCTGGGCCATCATTTTATAAGGACTGCATGATAGTCTATCATGAACCACAAGGTAGAAGCTGTTTAACTCCTTCTCTGCTGCTAGACATTTAAGTGGTTTCCGTTGCATTATAGTAACCAGTACTTCAATGAATATCCTTGTGCTTAAATTTTTGTACTCATCTATGATGTTTTACTTTGGATACATACTGAAATGTAAAATTTACACTTTAAAGATTCTAACAGAAAGCCATTACAGAAAGATTGTGCCAAATAAGTGCCTGCTTTCCTGCATGACCATGTTTTTTGTTTTTCAATCTCTGCCAAGATAAAATTTTCTCACTTTATCTTTATTTCAACATTTGTATTTCTTTGGTTATATTGAGGTTGAACATTTCTTCATATTAGTCATTTAAATAGATAGTGTGGCACTGTAAGGTGTAAAAGGTCGGTTGTTCAGACCCACCAGTTCACTCCTTGGAAACCCTACACAGGGTCGCAATGAGTCGGAATCAACTTGGCGGTACTTAACAACAACAACAACCTACCTAAAAAAGTCGAGACTTACATAATCTCTAAGATTATGACCCTTAGACACCCTTCAAACCTGAACCCACCCACAGCAATCACTTTTCAGCCAAACAATTGGCCTATAAAGTAAAGAATAACTTTTCAGGGAAATCAACCATATAAGACCAAAAGGGCAGCATTTGCCCAGAAGCAAAGTTCAGAAGGCAGGAAGGAGCAGGAAGGAAGGATAAATGCAAACATGAAACCCAGGAAGGTAGTGGGAAGGATGCTATTACATAGAGAGATTGCAACCACTGTTTTGAAACAAAATGTGTATGAATGGCTAAATGAAAAATCAGTATCCTCTGAAAACGTTCATACAAATCACAGTAATACGTTATTAACTAATTCATAGATATAGCTAAAGACACTTGTCATGTGCTTTGCTGCTATTTCTATTTGATGAATATGTTGTTGTTGTTAAGTGTTATCGAGTCAGTTCCAACTCACTGCAACCCTGTCTAGGGTTTCCATTGAGCGGCTGGTGGGTTTGACCTGTTGACTTTGTGGTTCATACTGCCCTTGGAGTCCAGTGCATGATCCTGCAGCACCAAACCAGGATTCCATTTGATGATTATATATATATGTTTTTAAATTTATAGATGTTCTTTATGTTTTCAAGAATTTGTACTTTCATAGTAGTGCTTACTGCCATGTTTAGGAAGCCTTTTAGAGGTTTGCTCCCCTCTCCTCACTCCTTCCCTTCTATATAATACTGTTAAATACTTAACTCAGTCTTGTAATTAAGTTAGGTACAGGAGTGTCCCAGCCTTGCTTTTTACCCTGATTACTGTTAGCAAGATAGGCTGATTTTAATTTTAAGTTTAGTCTCTCAGCAAACGGGATCTTGAGGCTGCTTATTGGGACTTATGTAACGTTTTTGGTCCCTTCCCCTAGGCAATTTATCAGCCTTTATGTCAGTTAGATCATTTTGTTTTCACTGAGACCCAGGAGAGCCTTCTATCTTAAGAAATAGCTGTGTGGAAATTCTAGCTTACAAAGTAACGTTTCCTCTGTTATTATCTTTAAAGGGGGAAAAAAAAAATCAGCAGAAGAATGTTTTATATATGTAAAACAAAATTATATACATATATGTATATATATATTAGACTTAAGAAAGAAAGCTTACAGATTTCTGAAATCAAGAATAAAAGATTTTATCAAGAAAGAGTAATATTGAAAAAATAGAGCAAAAAATTAAGGACTGTAATAGACTCTGTAGGTCACTAGATAAACTCTAATCTTTTCCGGAGTGTAGAGTATAACATGAACAAATGAAAATATAAAATCTTTAGTTAGATGCTCATTAATTATATATTCATAGGAATTCGTGTACCAGGAGCACATATATTATACCTTGAAAATTTTCAAAATGATCAGTTAGCTAATAGGTGATTTTCTCTAATTAAGCCTGATGGTTCAGTCCTGTTCTATTAAGTACAATCTGTACCATTGAGTTTTTCCTTTATTCTCTTATTTTCACATCAAAAATTTAGCTTGTTCCAAAAGAAGTCTTGTTGCTATATTCAAGGCTTTTACTCAGTCTTGCTGAGGTAATAACGTATCATTACCACAAAATTTAAAAGGGCCTAAAATATATGCCCTGTTTGAAGCTAAATTACTTAAGCAGGTGTTCTTATGAATAGATGTCCACTGACATTTTTGAAATAAAAGGTTATTAAAAACTCTTTACTCGTGTCAGTTTCCATATATCAAATCCTTTCACTTTAGCTGAGCCTTTAGAAAGCATTTCCATCATCACAAAACATATTTTTCAGTAACTGAGTATTACACTCTGTTAGTGTTATTCAGAGAGAGCTAAAAACTTCTAATATTAGGTAGTTCATTTATTTTTCACTTATACCACTGCAGATGGCATATCCAAACCTGGTCAGACTTTAGACCATGGAATCAAACCATCTGGAAGACACATTTTAACTATGACATTATTTTCACCAGGATGTTTTCTAAGTAAGAATTCTGTTTCCTTCCTCTTACTATAGAACTTGTAATTGAGTATGATCGCTCAGCTTATTAAATGAAATTTGTATGATAAAGCTTTGAAAACTAGAAAGCAAAATGCTCGTATAAATGCTGTTGTTGTTAGGGGCTATTGAGACAGTTCCAACTCATAGCCGCCTTTATACAACAGAACAAAACACTGTATCATTCTCACAATTTTTGTATTTGAGCGCATTGTCGCAACCACTTGGTCAGGATGTCTTGTTAAAGGTCTTCTACATTTTCACTGACCCTTTACCAAGCATGATGTCCTTCTTCAGGAACTGGTCTCTTGATAACATGTCCAAAGTATCTGCAACAAAGTCTCAGCATCTTTCTTCTAAACACTTGAAAAAGTTCTTTTGCAGCAGATTTGCCCAATGCAATGTAAAGATTTTATTAGGTAACATTCTTATGTAATACAGATATTTTTCTACCATTCATCTGTTAGTTTATTGTGCTTTGGTTGCCTGTGTGTTCCTGTGATGCTGGAAGCTATACCAATGATATTTTAAATATCAGCAGAATCACCCATGGTGGATAGTTTTCACTGGAGCGTCCAGACTAAGACACTCTAGGAGGAAGGAGAGGCAGACCACTTCTGAATGATAAACCACTGTTGTTGTTATGTGCCGTGGAGTCAGTTCCAACTCATAGTGACCCTGTACAGGGTTTCCAAGGCTGTAAATCTTTACGGGAGCAGAAAGCCTCATCTTTCTCCCGTGGAACAGCTGGTAGTTTCAAACTGCTGACCTTGCAGTTCACAGCCCGATTCGTAACCACTACACTACCAGAGCTCCTTTTGTAAGCCCTGTGAATGATAATGGCATGTTGTCTGATATAGTGCCAAAAGATGAGTGCTTCAGGTTGGAAGCCTCTCAAAATAAGACTGGGGATGAACTGTCTCCTCAGCATACTGCTGGCAGTAATGATGTGGGTGGAGCAAAGCTTTCAGGACTTTCATTTGTTGATGGGGCACAACTCCAAATCAGAAGAAACTAAAATGACAGGAAAGACCAAAATGGATGTCAAAAGAGACTCTGACCCACTCCAAGACTGAAACTCAAAGGGTACACACAAGTAGTCATGTAAGCTTGCTGGCGACCACATTAGTCTGCTTGTGAGTGGAAATGGGTGAAAGGTAGCAATAAAGATATGGGCTAAGTTTGACCACATTCCATAGACTCCCATTGACCTTGAGAGAGATAAGAGGAAGGGCTGGTTGGTCTGAAGTGTAGTGAGACTTGGGGACTTCTGAGCCCATGGACAAGGACCTGGACAAGGAGGGCTAAAGCTGAGAGTGAAGCAGCTGGCTGATAGGAAGTGAGAGGAGATGCATAAGAATGCCCAAACTTGCAGATAGTACCCATTTGGCCTAGCTTAGATGGCTTGATCAGAACTCGACTAGAGGAAGATAAAAAAATTTCATAAAACAAGTGTAAATTGCTACAATTTGATGAATTTGACCTATACTTATGGATGTAGTAGCTCAAAATACCAACTGAGAAGGAAGAAGTCTTCACATCAAGGATCAAACTTATCCCCTCTGCA